AGTTATCGTGCATGGTACATGAGCCAATGATATGCCCATCATTTTGACTTTTCTGTGATTGTGTTAGAAAAGATCTTGAGGAGCACGTCTCTTTAGTCTCTTAAATGTATAATAGTTTGGTTGCTTTTTCATCAAAGTTCTTGCTAGGTAGTTAAGATGATTTTGTATTCATTTGGAATAGGAAAGTAAAGAGTCCTTTATTTCTTCTCTTACAGGTAAGATTTTTAGATCACGGTGCAGGTGATAATTTTTTATATAGGTACCATGGCGCTCCAGTTATCATTCCTGAATGAAGGGTTTGAAAAACATAATTTTTGGTCATGGTCATGCAAAATATTAGCCATTGAGAGCCCTGTTTCTTATCTGCATATGCTAAACTTAAATTAAATCTAAATAACGAAAGTTTATTCCAATACTGTAATATTCTAAATATTTTCGATAAATTTAAACTTGTAACATTAACAGACGAATACCATAATAAACATTTAATCACATTGAGAAACTGATCTAGTAACCTAAGACAACTAGATTATACAGATACCTACATGATCCCAAATTATAATAACTTATATGGAACAAGAGTGTGCCAATATATATTACCAAAAATAATGAACGAGCTACCAACAGAACTACAATTATTGTATAGTACTTGTAATAACAAAATAAAAAGTAAACTTTAAAAACATTTTAACAGTAATTCAGGAGGAACTTCAGCAAATTGCATAACCTAGTAAGCATATAAGATTGAGCAAATTGTAAGATTTAATTTTATTTCATTTATATAGTACCTAAGTAAAATTAAGATCAACATCTATATCTGCAACTTCTGCTACGGCGGATGCTACATATTAACAATCCATTAAGTGGATTAGATATGTATATATATGTAATTTAATTTTAAGCATGTTACAATAAATAAATAAAAAAAAACGTAGTGCGACAATTCCTGTCAGGTATTCACCAGTTGTGCCTGTGGACGTACATGTTAGAGAACCCACGCAAACATTCTTAACAGGCACCCCTGCCTATTTCGTTGGGTCGGTCACACATAAAGCTCCCTTTTGCGGACATGACTCGTTTATTAAGTTTGTAATGAAGTTCTGGGGGTTGACTCTCCTTCTCCGAAACGAATTTTCGGTAACGAAGCTCATATGAAGTTTCATTACGTCAAGAGTTAATCTATATATATAAAAATGAAACCCGTTTTCCGTTGTCACGACATAACATGAAAACGGCTCGACCGATTTGGCTGATTTTTTTTTGTAGTTTTCTAATACTCTGTACAAGGTTTTTACGGAAAAAATAATTTAATTTTTTTTAATTTTTATTTTTTTTTATAAATTTTTTATTTAATAAAAATTAGTAAAGTCCTCAGGTATGGCGAGATCAGGGAAATAAGGATTCATTTTTATATGGATGATATTATAGATTCCAATTCAAATTGAATAGGTACTCATACATAAGATAGGTCAGCTATACAAAATAAAGTAGTGCATCAAAGCTACGCTAAGGCGGTACGAAGTTCCCCGAGTCAGCTAGTTCTTAATATATTAATAAACACTACCAAGTTTTTTTTGGGTAAGTTAAGAGAATCTAAACGAATTATTAGAATTGGGAAGTTTCGATCGATATTTCGTTTTTCGTTGAATTAGAGTAGGCCTCATGTATTGGTGGTATTTTCGTATTGAGATATCCGAATACTTATTTCTCACACACACCTTGCTTGCAAACTAATTGATGGTGTTTTTATTACATACTCGTACCACGTTCAAATATTTTTGTTTTGCGTAACTGGGTTCTTTCAATATGAAATAGGTATACCTTTGCATCTTGTAAAACTTTGCGATCACTTTGAAAAATAGATTGTTTTTTGTGTTACAGAAGACTTATAATTTCTTTTTCTAATAAGATTCTAAATTTTAAAATTAGAACGTAAAACAATAAAATAATTCAATTCTTTTTCCATGTTAAACGACATGCAATCCAAGCTGACACTCATTCAGAAATCTGACTTAGACAATATTATGGGATTTAAAATATTTTTTGACGGAAAGTTGTGATTTCAAAAATTCCACGAGGATTATCAGATGTTTTACGAGCCAGAATTGTAAAGGAGGTCTTGGCGAGCACCTTTGAATTCACGGGAACGTCAGACGGAGATTACAGTGGGCTAGGCTCCGGCAAAACGAAGAAGGCGAAGAGGAAAACATTTGGCAAAACTGCCTCTTCGTTGACGTATCGCGAATCAGTACTCATCCAGATAACCTACGTGTCCGTGTTTGGAGAAGACCTGGAGACTCTGAAAGGCAAAGAACGGCCACAGGAACGGTTCAGCAAGGCGGGAAATCAGTGTCCTTTTGGGGTGGTATTATCATTGGGGCTAAAACGTTTTTAATCCCTTATCAAGGCTTCATGACGGCAGACAGATACAAAACAGTCGCTATTGATGGAATCGTCAGACCTTTCCGAGTAAACCATGGGCACCAATTTGTACTGGTTGACGATAATGCGCCCGCATATCGAGCTCAACTTGTCAATGCTGCTCATCGAGAATACGAAATCACAAGGTTAGACTTGCCTGCCGGCTCTCCTGACTTAAACCCAATAGGATGCTCTTAAACGAGCTGTTTGGAACCGGCAGCCACCACCCCGGACAGTGCCGCAGCTCAGGGAAGCTGCTGTTCAAGAATGGGACAGGTTACCACAAGAAAAGCTGGATAACTTGATCCTCAGCATGCCCAGGAGGATCTCCGCATGTGTTCGAGCCAGAGATGGAGTTATTTTGTATTAGATAAACAACAATTTATTAATAAAAGGTTTTTAAGTTTGGTTTAACTATATTTTTATATCTATCAAAGTTCTATTACAATGGTCTTAGGATTGAACTATTATTTTTTTTTAAATTCAGAAAGTGTATTTTTAAATAAAAAAAGGTATAACATAAACATTTTCTCTTGATTAAGTTAAATTTTGAAAATATATCAGCGTTTGCAAGTGATCTCAAACTTTTTTTGATGTGTGTATGTATTCGACGTCGTTTCTGTTTCATAAGTTTCTTATCCAATTATGCGAGATATTAAATACATATACATGTAATTCTTTTTTGGCCATGAATAGCCAAAAAATATATTAATTAAAATGTCTAATTGAATACTAAATAAAATAGAAGTTACGTATTTTGGGTAGTTCACATGACTTTGTAAACGACTTAATTAACAAAAACATGTATCAAAAATAACTTTAGTGGATGAACTTTAATGGAAATTTCATAAAAAATATATATACAACTATTAAGTATTCGTGTACCAATTATTTAAAGGAGAAGGACGGTCAAAGTGAGGGATAGTAGATTCTACTTACACAAAAAAAAAACAACATAAATATTTCGTTTCACTAGTACTTATTTGAAATCATACAATATTTACAGACGTAAATGAAAAACGTGTTATTTCGTCTTGTTTTCAAAACATCCATATTTTGTTGACTCTGCGAATTTTGGGATAACCTATAAACAGGTGGATGATACTCGACGCACATTTGTTAAAATGAACGCTTATCAACCCTAAAGTAGTTTGTTTTTACGGAGACCTACACTACAATTATGAATGCATTGTACATTATTAAGATATTTCTCAAAAAAGAATGTGTATTAGAGGCCTAATTGTCTAACTGAACACACTCCGAGATCTATTTCATTTAAAATTTACGAAAGAGATTCACATGTTGACTTGCTTAGATTTGAAAGGGAAAGACATATTAAAGTTTCACTGTTAGCCCCATTTGCCAGCTCACACCGTCATAGATAATAATGGTTTTTACTGTCTATCCAAGGAACTTAGCCATGTTTTTGATTTGCTTTTAGCATTTAAGACTTCAATAAATAAATACCGTATTAAAATACTCACAGCATACGCCGCGTATCCACTAGGATACCGGTTTGTGCTATTACGTTGAAAAAGGTTTTTTTTCTAGAAAGTAAAATAATATTCTTGTGCCACTAAAACTTTGATGTAGGTGAAATTTGTACGGTTAAAATAAATAAAAGAAAATGTAAACCAATCGATTGAATATGCCTTATCCGCTGTTTAAGTGGTCATATACCATCTTCGCATCATTGCTATGGTTTGGGGCACATCGGTTCCATTCAACCTACGAGTTAGTCGTTAAAAAAGTTCAATTCAAAGTCAACAAGCTAGTCGCTAAAAAGATTTTTGTGATGGAGACCGTGACCTGTACTAGTGGTTTTTTATTACAATCACCAGCGATCTACAACCAAATAATTACTGTTACTTTAGCTTAGCTACATGTATATTTAGCATTGCTATTTATTTGGCTAGTGGAAAGAAATAAATAATACATATTATTTTACTTTTAAATTAGTTAAAAATGAAATTGGATTTAGGCATGGAATAATAATTTGTAGTTAATTTTTAATATCTATGACTATCTGCTTTTTTATTGGAACGAAGTTCCTTACGGCAGGCTTGGAGGGGATAGGAATTTTGCTTCGCGACCGAACTGAAAAAAATGTGATAGTAAAACCGTAAGAAAAAATCCGTGGAAAAAAGTGCGTGGAATAAAACCGTTAAATGAGACGTGCGCAGGCGCGAAACGAAGTTCCTTACGGCAGGCTTGGAGGGGATAGGGATTTTGCTGCGCGACCGAACTGAAAAAAATGTGATAGTAAAACCGTAAGAAAAAATCCGTGGAAAAAAGTTCGTGGAATAAAACCGTTAAATGAGACGTGCGCAGGCGTTCTACTTCGTTCCTACCTGGTGTTCCACGACACCACATCATTTTTTTATTATGATATTAAAAGTCAAACATCGAAATCACGTTAATTACAATGCAAGTCTTCAAGTAAAGTATTTTCTTTTTACCATCTACGCAGTCATCTTAATCGTAAATGCGATTGTTAGCCGCCCGTCGTTCAAATATCCCAATGTGCGTTGTCCCTGTTTCTTTTACGGCGCGGCCACTTCCCGCTCGCCTCACTGCACTCCAGGCCCTCCAGCAGGGAGCCCGTTAACTGTGTTTACTGATCACACAACGTATTTCCAATCATAACAACACAACGCCAGTGAACTATGGCCGAGACGGACGAAAAAGGATTTCAAGTGAGTGTTTTCACTATCTTAATTTTTCACTATTCCCGATAGTGTTTTGTTTACAATAATTTTCAACTCATCATTTGAAGTTTCGTGGCGTTTCAGCGTTCGATAAATGATATATCGCGTATGAATCGAATTTTCGTTTTATTTATGAGTGGCGTGTCTAAAATAAGCCCATTTTGAAGTTCAACGTTGAATCGGGCGGATGATATTTTAGTTTGTTCGAAGATTTTGGATCGCATGACTGTTTACTCTGTTTCTTATACTCTATTGCACCGAGACAACCGCAGTTTTTTTATTTTATTATTTACAACATCGAGTTTGATTTATAATATATAAATTAACTGGTTATATTAACCCACGATTTTGTCCGAGTCGAAAATTTATTTCCTGTACAAATTATCGTCATTAATTATCTCGACCTTCAAGTTATAATTTTTAAGCCTTTATCGACTTGGAAAGGCATTTTTATCTCTAAAAAAATATTTATTGAAATTGATTCAATGGTTTTGACGTGAAATAGTAACACACAGATCGATAGTAGAAATCGGCATCTATAATATTACGTTTATTCTAATATTCAGATTATTTCTTTCAATTGTGTGCACGTTGCAATCTTAAGCAAGGGAATAAACAATCTAATTGTATGTTTTAAATACCTATAATAAAAAAAGTTTTGGATGTATTTAAGATAAAAAGAAATAGGAGAAAAAGAAATGTGTACATAACGGTGACTTTTCGTTCCAATTGTTGTGCCAGAAAAGGGTAGTGGCCTTTACCAGCTATCTTCGTGTTTGGCCTCTACCACCACATAAACTCAGGTGGGGTAGAGTCATTTGCCTATCTATCTATAAAAAACCGGATAAATGCGAGTCGGACGCTCCCACCGGGGGTTCCGTACAGTAGATACGCAATATAAACGGCCGTATCTTTATTACGTTGTGATTTTTTCACAGCTTTAAGGGACCGTATTTGAGTATATATAGTTAGTTTAAATTTCAAATCGGTACTTCCACTGTTCCCGAGATAAGGGGTTTTGACAGAACGCGATATTAACGGCCGTATCTTTATTGCGTTGTGATTTTTTCACAGCTTTAAGGGACCGTATTTGAGTATATATAGTAAGTTTAAAATTCAACTCTGTACCTTCACTGTTCCCGAGATAAGGGGTCTTGACAGACATACAGATGGAGAACAAAGTGATGCTATAAGGTTTCCGGTTTTTTCTTACAAGGTACGAAACAAAGTCTCCACGTTACAGAAAATCATAGTAAAATGTCTTTTGGTGATTTGTTTATATTGGTAAGGTAAGGTTCCATGGCTCCAGGGGTTGAGGATGGTTCAGGCCGGCCAAATGAGGATGTCAGGAGATACACTATTTCGTTGATTTCGTACTTTTTGCGAATAAAATTATCAATTTGCTGTGCTTTATATAAAAAAGTGATGTTTTCGACGAATAACCTCATTTTGTAGGAAAATAAAATCTGCCAAGTGCGAGTCGGATTCGCGCACCGAGGGTTCTGTACAAACCTGAATTTTCAAAAATATTTTTTAATATTTTTTTTTTAAATTTACGGTTTTCGGAAATTTTCCTTTATCTGTACTATAAGACGTTACTTCGTACCAAATGTCAAGATTCTAAGTTCACGGGAAGTACTCTGTAGGCTTTGATTCCCGTGCGAGTTTCGAAAATTTGCGGAAATTTGCGGCATATACAGCTGTATCTTTTGATTGTTTTGGCTTAGAAGTTTGATTTTTCACAGCTCCAAGGGAATGTAGACCTGAGTATTAGATATGAATTTCAGTTTGATACCTCCACGCGTCCCTGAGAAAAGCGGTCTTGACAGACGGACGGACGGACGGACAACAAAGTGATCCTATAAGGGTTCCGTTTTTTCCTTTTGAAGTACGAAATCCTAAAAAGTATCTAAGATGATATATAATGAAAGATAATTATGAAAATACTTAGATATAATGAAAATGATAAAATATAATCTTAAAAACGCTGAATTCGAATATTTACTCTTCAAACATACAACCGCCCAGGTACATACCCAGATATCTATTGTAATTTTTTTTGTACCTACTTTTGTTGAGCAATAAAATTATTATTATTATAATATATTTCATCATCATCATCATCATCAGCCTATTAATATCCCCACTGCTGGGGCACAAGCCTTCCCTATGGATGGAATTTGCCCATGACCCACCACCCGGGCCCAGTGCGCATTGGTAGGTGCTAACAACAGCAGATGCAGCCCGGACCAACGGCTTCGCGTGCCTTCCGAAGCACGGAGGAGCTCGAGACAGTAAATTTATGGTCACCCATCCAATGACCGACCACTGCGAAAGTTGCTTAACTTTAACGATCGCAGCCGAACGCGCTAACCACTTGCGCCATCGAGCTCCTCGAGTAATATATTTATTCCTATATAATTTAACAGTCAAATTATTCGTTTCCTTCGATTACGCCTATCAATCCAACCGCTCGGTTTTCAAGTGGTTATATAGTGAATCCAGACCTCATTATAATGATTGATCGCATGAGCCCCTTAATATAGCTCCTGCGTAAATTACTAGAAATATAGGATAACATTGTACACATGAATCTATATAACATAGGTAATTAGGAATACCTACCTGTTTAAAGCATCCGTTACTTCTATGCATTCAGAAACAACATAGGCAATAAAATCTTCTATAAGTATTAAAATGTCCGCCTCCGACTCCTCCCACACATGCCACAAACACCAACACTATACAGCTAGCATACTGCACACTAGCTTAGCATTAGGCAGACACCGCACCCGTAGGATAAGAGTGCGAAGACCCGGTCTACACACGACATGCTATACCAGGTACCTGGGCGTTTTTCCCCGCCCCCCACGACAACAGCTAACTAGAGCCGAGGTCCGAGTCTCAGAGACGCTCTCTAGTTATGCTGAACCCCTCAGGTTCGAGTGGTCTACAGGCTCCAGACGGAGAGGAGACTCCCCCCGTGGGGAGATACCATCCGCCTGGAATACATATAGACGCACTCGCCAATTCTCGGCTTGAGGACCCTTAGGATCTCGCCGTCCCCAACCCCGGTGACGCTGTAAAGGTCATCTGCGACTAGGGCTGCCATCCGTCCGGGTTTCCCCGGATTTGTCCTTGTTTACGCGGCGTCCAGGGAGCGTCCGGGCGGGGTTTTATTTGTAGTCCGGGTTTAAAAATTTACATCAACGCATAAATGGCCCTTGGTGTTGCAGGTAGACCGCTAGCTCTTTTGCCTAGATCAACATAAAAAAGTTGATTTGTGATATTTTAACTGTGTTTTATTGGTCTGTCCGGGTTCTAGGCTCCAAAATCCGGGGTTATCACGCGTCTTATCCTGGTTGCAACATTTTAGAGATGGCAGCCCTATCTGCGACCAACGTGCGTGTATGCTACACACAAAAAAACCGATTTGAATTAAATATGTATTTTTGTACATGGGAAAAGTGTGTCAAACAAACATACTGCATCCTTGTTTCATTCAGAAGTAGCATAAATCGTGTATAATATCCCATCCCTGTTTTAACAAAGGGATTTTTATGATATATAGCGTATTTACCTCTCAAGTTGGAGTGCCCGTCCGGGGAAGCGACCTCCATCAGGGCTTTATTAAAAATCCTCATCAAAAATTCCGACCTTTTCAGTGAATTTCTTCTATACAAGTCTTGCCCCGGCAATTAATTTTTAAATTCAATTTACACACAAGTGGAGCACAGTCAGTCAATATAGACAAAATAATACAGTGAGGTCATATATCGTCACGTGGGCTAATACGGAAATTTTAATGCAGAATTTTATTTATTTATTTATTAGGACCACCAGAGAAAGTTACGTAAATTCTTATGTCAACAAATAAAACATTTTTCTTTCAATCCTTTCTTTCTTTTTTTTCTATTTTTAAACATCATAGTAGTGATACATACAAAATGCAAAAATCTGTTGATGGTACGGAATTTCAATTAAAAAACAAGCAGAAAGACAAAGTGAAATAAGATACGAATAATGAAATTTATGATCTATTAGTGGCACCTTTCAATCTATACACAATTTAAAGCACAATTTATATATATATATATATATATATATCTTCGATATAACAAAATTAATGAATGAAGAATACGGAAAGAAAGCAAAACAAATACAAAACTGCATTTACAAATCACAATTGAGGGAATCTCTAATTCACGGAGTAAATATTATTTATGAGAGACTAGTGGCCCGCCCTCGCTTCGCTTCGGTATTTTATCCCCTAGGGGGTAGAATTGATCAAAATCCTTTCTTAGCGGATGCCTACGTCATAACATGCATGCCAAATTTCAGCCCGATCCGTCCAGTGGTTTGGGCTGTGCGTTGATAGATCACTATGTCAGTCAGTCACCTTTGAGGTATATAGTTATAGTATATTTAGACTAATGGGTGCCAACGAAATCGTCTGCGTGTAAAAATTGATTTCTCATACAAACTTTCACCTCCTTTAGCACCCTCTTTAAGAAATATTTTTTGAATCAAAACTATCGTATGTCCTTACCTGGGACTCAAACTATCTATATAACAAACTTCATCTAAATCGGTTCAGTGGTTTAGGCGTGGCGAAAAACAATACACATACTTTCGCATTTATAATATCAGTATGGATTACGAGAAAATTCAATCGGACGAAATTGCCATGAGTATCACTTTTTGTGAGGTCAAATTAGGTGGTCAGAGAATTCCATTTGTCGGTGCGTATTACGCTGCGCCACAAAACGGAGCGGTCGCCATAAAAGAAACGACCCAACGATCGGAAGCAACTTCGCAAAATTAGTTCTCAGCGAGATCCAATCACTACCATTTTGTTATACGCATTTGGTTATTATCAAGGGTTGCCACTGTCATTAATACTACTTTATTTTAAACTAGCAACCCGCCCTCACTTCACTTCGGTGTAGAGCTGAAGTGTAGACTACAGTTTTTGTTCTCAGGCTTGT